AGAGCTACACTAGCAGCCCAATAGGCCCATTTTCTTGGCCTTTGCCAGGATGTTAAATCCTGTGTCATGGGAGAATGCCCCACGTTAGTTTCCTAGGGCTGCTGTAAAAAGGTACCACAAATTGAGTGGCTTAAATTTATTTATTCTCTCACAATTCTGGAGGCCAGAAGTCTGAAAACAAGGTGTTGGCAGGGCCATGCTCTTTCTGAAGTCTCTGAAGGAGGATTCATTTTTGCCTTTTCCTCGCTTCTGGTGGTTGCTGGTAATCCTTGGCATTCCTTGGCTTGTAGACACATCACTCTAGTCTCTGCTTCTGTTGCCGCCTGGCCTTCTGCCCCGAGTTACTGTGTCTATGTGTTCAAATTCCCCTCTTCTTATAGGTACACCAGTCATTGGATTTGGATCCACTCAAATCCAGTATGACCTCATCTAAACTTGATTACATCTGCAAAGATCCCTTTTCCAAATAAGGTCATATTCACAGGTATTGGAGGTTAGGATTTGAACATATCTTTTTGGGGGACAGAATTCAACCTACAACCTACATATTGACAAATTCTCCCTTATCCAACTTTGTTACCCCTCCATGTCCCTCGGATCCAGCACATTCAGGATCCATTCCCAGGCATACTTTCCTGCTTCCTACTGGTAAATGTTAGTCAGATCCTTCTCCTTTGGCTATAACCTCTCTCTTCTATTGGCAGGCCCAGAATATGCCCAGTCTGGGATTTGGTTCTTTTTTTTTTTTTTTAAATTTTATTTATTTATTTATTTTCCCCCAAAGCCCCAGTAGATAGTTGTATGTCATAGCTGCACATCCTTCTAGTTGCTGTACGTGGTACGCGGCCTCAGCATGACTGGAGAAGAGGTGCGTCGGTGCGCACCTGGGATCCGAACCCAGGCCGCCAGTAGCGGAGTGCGCGCACTTAATCGCTAAGCCATGGGGCCGGCCCTTGGGATTTGGTTCTAATTATTGGTCTGGTGGCCAGAAAGGGAAGTAGGAGCAGATCCTGAAGAGTGTCAGCATTGTCTTGTAAGTCACCCGCTCCATTTAAGGTTTTTGCATTGTTTTCAAGTAAGGAGAGGAGGGGCATCTATCTTCCAACAAGGGGAGTGGCCACTTGGTCCAGAGGGTTTATCCAAGTCTCAGATTTCCTCCCATCCCAAGTTCTCAGGGTCCCATATCCTATCAGGATCTCGGCTTTGATGTATGAGACCTATCTACGCTCAGAATTCCACCTTCTCTGGAGTTCTGCTATTTTTTAAAATAAAGCTTTTGTTTTGGAGTAATTTTAGACTTAGAGAAAAGTTGCAAATATAGTACAAAGATTTTCTATATATTCCTCACTGTCTCCTCTAATGTTAACATCTTACGTTACTATGGTACATTTGTCAGAACTAAGACATCAACATGGGCACATTACTAATTAAACTCCACACTTGATTAAAATTTCATTAGTTTTTCCACTAATGTCATTTTTCTTATGCCGGAATCCAAACCAGGACACTACATTGCACTTAGTCATCATGTCTCCTTAGTCTCCTTTGATCTGTGACAGTTTCTCAGCCTTTTCTTGTTTTTCATGACTTGGACAGTCTTGAGGAATACTGGTTGGGTATTTTGTAGAAGGCTAGCCCTAGTCATCTAGTGGTTAAGATTCGGTGCTCTCACCGCTGTGGCCTGGGTTTGTTTCCCGGTCAGGGAACCACACCACCCAACTGTAGGTTGTCGTACTGTGGTGGCTGCATGTTGCTATGATGCTGAAAGCTCTGCCACCGGTATTTCAAATACCAGCAGGGTCACTCATAGTGGACAGGTTTCAGCGAAGCTTCTAGATGAAGACAGACAAGAAAGAAGGACCTGGCCACCCACTTCCAAAAAAACTGGCCATGAAAACCCTATAAGTAGCAGCTGAACATTGTCTGATATACCACTGGGAGGTGACAGGATGCAAAGGTGCAAAAAGGAGGTGCAAAAAGACCGAGCAGGGGTCTGCTCTGCTGGACACAGGGTCACTAGGAGTCGGAATTGACTCGACGGCACTAACAATAACACATTTCGTAGAATATTCCTCAGTTTGGGTTTGTCTGATATTTTTCTCATGATTAGACTTGGGTTGTGAGTTTTTAGGAAGAATAGTATAGAGGCAAAATGCCTTTCTCATCACATCATATCAGGGAGTACAATACTATCAACATGACTTATTACTAGTGATGCTAACCTTGACTGCTGCTTAGGAAGTATTTGCCAAATTTCTCTACTTTCCATATTCTATTCTTTGGAAGGAAGTCACCAAGTCCAGCCCACACTCTGAGGGGATTCTGCCATTTTTACAGTGAAGTCTTGTGCCTGATTTTCAGTTCTAACCGCCCTCCAGCTGCAGGAGATAAGGGTCTTTTTAAATGGTGACAAGGAAAATGACTCTTGCACTTTCCTTTAAGTTGGTAATTGATTACCTGAATCCTGTCATTTTCTCTCTTCAAAGCATCAAGGGCATTTAACAATAGCCACTCAACTCCATGGAGAAATTGCTCTTTCTCCCATTCTTCCCAAATACCAGAGATATTGCATGAACGAGTGCATCCCCTTCCACCTGTATCCCATCCCAGTTCACCACAGTTGAAAGTCTTGGCATGTGCACCACGTGCCAGGAACTATCAACACTCCACCTACCACCAGTGGTGGATCCTCACTGCCAGCTAACTAGTAAGAAATCATACTCCAAGATCCCATTCTTAGGGTCTGCTTCCTAGAACTACTGTCTTTTAAGGACTCCCCATCTCAGGGGTTCTGCCCAAGGAGCAGGGCACAGGACCCCTCTGCTTTTAGACCCTTAGCCTTCTCTCTTCTAACCATCTCTTATCTTTTCCTAGTCTGGCAGTATGTTTTCTTATCCAGGGTTTATTTTCTCTCTTTCTCCAACTTTCCCCAAATATCTTTACAATAACCATATCCTCTATGTGCTTCTTAAAGCTTATGCAAGGGCCATGGACACAATACATACAGAGTGAAGCAGGCCACATTATATTTTTTGACAAAGACATGCTATCTGTGTTAACGCACAGAAATAGTCTCTACTTCCACAAAGAAATATGCTGTATCATTCAAAGTTCTTAGCTGCAATCAACAGAGGCCACTCTAACTAAAGTGGAATGAAATTTAGTAAAGCATCTTAGGAAGCGCAGACTCCCTAGAAGGACCAGATCTGGATGCTCTACCTCCAGGAAAAAGGCAGCAGAGAATATATTATATCATACCACTACATGCATCATATCATTGAACCGTTAATCAACCCTATGAGATAGCTATTATCATTAGCCCGTTTTAGAGATGGGGACTCCTATAGATTAAATTGTGTTCTCCTCAAATTCTTATGTTGAAATCCTAACCCCGAGTACCTCAGAATCTGACTATTTGGAGACAGGGTCTTTAAAGAGGTAATTAAGTTAAAATGAGGTCATTAGGGTGTGCCCTAATCCAAATGACTGGTGTCCTCACAAGAAGAGGAAATTTGGACACTGAGATTCACAGGGGGAAGATGATATGAAGAGCCACAGGGAGAAAACTACCATCTACAAGCCAAGGAGAGAGGCCTCAGAAGAAACCAGCCTTCCCCATACCTTGAAGTGGGACTTCTGTCCTCTAGAACTGTGAGAAAATAAATTTCTGTTGTTTAAGCCACCCAGTCTGTGTATTTTTTTATGGCAGCCCTAGCCAACTAATACCAGGATATTGTGTCTTAGAGTGGTCAAGTAATTTAGCCAGAGTCATGAAGCTAACACATGGGGGAAACAGCATCAGCTTCTTTCACTCCAGACCCCCATTCTCTGATTCTCCTCTACTGGGTGGTCCATGGTGGCTGGGCAAGGGCTTCAAAGTAACAGATGCAGAGGACAAAGTAACTCAGGAAGATCATTGAGACAGAACACAGCCTGGCTGCCAGGAAACGTGCCCGAAAGGGAACCAGGAGACCTAGACAGCTAGGAGAAAGCCTTCACATCTTGCCTCTACCATCGACTGGCTGTGTGATCTTGGCCAATCTGCTCTTGCTTTCTGAACTACAGTTATATTCTGTGTCAAATGGAAGTGTTCAATTTCTTATATCTCACTGAGCTGTTCTAACCATCGAATAAGATCATTATATGTGTGGGGAGAGGGAAGGGCAGAGGGAAAGAACTGAATCCACTTCATACAAATATTGGTGTAGTTGTTGCATATTATCCCTGTTTTAGCTAATACTAATAATGCTGCTATAATAATGTGTCAATATTAAAGCATCAGTTTTCCGCGGTATTTAAATTATATATGTTCTGATGCCACATGTTCATGGAGACCACTGGGGCTGCACATTATAAATAGTCCTATAATCCAAATAACTCTTAGGCATCCATATAAATGGCAATAAATGGCATCAATGCTCAGTCTAGCAGAGTGGACTCATTAAATGATTGCGAGGATTAATGTAATAGAAATATCTGGCATATATTGAGTTTTTACATGTGTCATGTTCTGTTCTAAATGACCTAAATGTAATAATTGACTATGACAATCCTAAGAACAACCCCATGATGAAGAAACTATTATTATAATTCCTAGGTTATAGATGAAGAAACTGAAGCCCAGAGAGTTTAAGTAACTAGGCCAAAGTCACGCAGATAAGTAAGTGGAAGACTAAACATTCAAACTAAGGCACCTGGCTTCTGGATTGGACACAGAAAATGGCAAGGGAACACTATCTACCTCATGGGATTGTTATGAGATTGAAATGACTTAATGCTCGTAAAAGTACAAAATGATATCCAGAGTATCAGTAATTTTGGCCATTAAAATTCATTTTAATAACGATGATGATGATAATAACAACTTGAAAAAATACACGCTGCATCCTACTTTGGGTTTCCCTTTTTCTTTCTTGCTACACTTTTTCTTTTTGCCTTGTACACTTTCTTTTTTCTCTAATCCTGACTGTTCTTCTCTGCCCCTTCTTTTTCTACTGTAGAAAAATCGATGGGACCAATGAGGAAGCAGATACTATTGAACTGAATGAAGAAGGAAGGCCAGTGCAAACGTCCAGGAAGAGCCCCCGACGCTGCGACTGCCACTGCTGTGGCGTCCCCAAGCGTTACATCATTGCCATCATGAGCGGGCTGGGGTTCTGCATTTCCTTTGGGATTCGGTGCAATCTTGGAGTTGCCATCGTGGAAATGGTCAACAACAGCACTGTGTATGTTGATGGAAAACCGGAAATTCAGGTCAGTGTCAGGCTATGGTGGGAACTCTTTTGGCCACAGCTGTGCAAATACTTTGTTATGTGAAAGAAAGCGCTGAACCTCATTCACTGATTGACAAAAATATAGAGTGGCTACCATGTGCCGGGCACCATGCAAGGTGATGGGAATAGAATAATGAACAATACAGGCTGGGCCTTTGTCCTCATAGAGATGTACAAGTAAGTGATTGCAGTTCAGGGTCGTAGGTGCTGTGTTGGGGTGCTATGTATGTCAGAATGCTTGGGGTCATATAGGAGGAGGCCTAGCTCAGACTTTGATATCGTGAAAGAACTCCCAGAGAAAGTGATGGCTGGACCTGAAGAACAGGAGGAATTTGACAGACAAAGAGGGTTTTGGTGGGTGGGAAGGAGAGTGTTTGAAGAAAAGTGAATATCATGTGTGAAAGACTGTGGGAGAGAGAGAAAGAGCAAGAGAGAGACCATGGTGTGTTTAGAATTGAGTTCTTCATCTTTTCTGTACCATGGATCCCTTTGGCAACTTGGTGAAGACCTATGAGCCTTTTGTCAAAATAATATTTTCAATTCTTAAAATAAAATACGTGGAATTATAAAGGAAACCAATTACATTAAAATGGATATCAAAATATTTAAAAATCAAATTTAATATAGAAACATATGGGCTTCTTCATGAACACATCAGATGACAAAATCTAGTAATGGGTCTAAAAATTAGTGTAATTTTGAAGTTTGAAGTATAAACCATAGTTTGAGATAGTGGCAACAACTGTCGCATGATATGAACATATTTATAATTTCCACTAGTGATACAGTCCCAGGTACTGATATTACTGTGGTTTGTTGCCTGCCTTCATAATCACAGAAGATGCTAAATTTCAGATATCAATTAGTGAAAATAAAGATGTTGATTTTTCTCATCAAAGTTCACAGATCTACAGGATTCCATGGACAGACTCCAGGTTAAGAACCCCTGGTAAGAGGGTAGGGTGTAGGTGAACATCAGGAGATGGAGGCAGCAAGGTAAAGAAGGTCAGGTTAGGTAAAGTCTGGTAAGCCGTGTAGGGAGTCAAGGCTGGGCTTTAAGCAGAGAGGCAGTACTATCAAATCTGTGCTCTGGAATGGTCACTGTCCAGCTGGTGATCTCCCAATGGATCGAGATTGAAGTGAGTGCAAGCAGGAGGCCCAGTTCACAGGCTGCTGTCGTCATAAGCAAGCATACTCTGATGTGACTTAGAGTATTATTTTTACGAATCACTGGACAGATCAAATCTGGTCTGTTTCTTAAATGGTAGGCCTAGAGAAGTATTGAGATTATGGGGGAAAAAACAAAAATGTATGCCCAGTGGATACCCAATAAGTACAAGCTTCCTTGAATTGAACACATACACTGAGATGACTCAGGTTGAAATCCATCCATTTGTAGAGAGGCGTCTAATAGTTTTCTGGTCCCCACCCATAATCCGAGAAAGATTTAGATCAGAGTTCCCCAAACTGGTGCCTGGCAAATCACTGTTCTGTAGGCTGAGCTGTGAAAAAGGTGTCGTATGAAAGGGGAGCCTTTTCTGTGCTGTCCCCTTGGAGAACCTCCAAGAGGGGGCCGTGGTATGCAGTATTTCCTGGACTTCATTGCAGAACACTTTCTTTCATGCCACATCTATTAGCATTACCTGGAACAGTTCCCCTCAAGCACTGGTTTGGGAAAATTTATTTCAATCCATTAAAAAGACATCTATAGGGCTGGCCCAGTGGCGTAGTGGTTGGGATCGTGTGCTCCGCTTCGGCGGCCCCGGGTTCACAAGTTCGGATCCCAGATGCGGACTTACACACCGCTCAGGAAGCCAGGCTGTGGTGGCATCCCACATACAAAGTAGAGGAAGACTGGCACGGATGTTAGCTCAGGAATAGTCTTCCTCAGCAAAAAGAGGAAGATTGGCAACGGATGTTAGCTCAGGACAAATCTGCCTCACCAGAAGAAAAAAAAATCTATAATTGGCCTGCAGACTTTTTTTTTTTTTTTTTTTAGCTAAGAGATTATTCTGCCAGAAGAAAAGAGCACCATGGAGATTCTTCTAACTAGTCTATTTTTGATGCCACAGCTGAAATCTGTTCTAAAAGGATATCCCGGTTGTTTATTTTTTGTGGGGGAGGGAGAGCAGTAGAGGTGTGTGGGGAGACATGTCATGCATTTTTTAAATGAAGAGTGATATATATTAGCAACGTGTCAGATGTGTATCACATGCATTCTCCCAGCCTTTTGTGAGCCAGGCCAGCTAATTAAAACTTGTCTGCTGAGGCCCAGATCAAAATGAGATGCTGGTTTGCATTTGTTTGTTGCTTGAAAAGACTGGCCTAGGTCAATAGAGTCTGCTTTGAGGCACATGGAAAAGACATTTTGATAAACTTAGGGAACAATGCTGGTGTGTGCTCTCTAGTTTCTACGGTTTTGCCCTCTGGAATCTTAGAGAAACTGATTAAGATCTAAAATATGCTTTACATCATTTTCTCTGGCCTCAAAAGTAGGAGTTTAGTAGCATTTCTGAAGGTCTAGCACAATTCCAATTTACAGCAGGCCATTTCTCTCTTCTCCAAATAGAATAAAGCTGAGATATCTGCTGAGCGTGTTCAACCTGATGACAAAGATTCCACTAATTGTATTAAGAAAGGCTCAGAATGGCTGATGTTTTTGTTTGTTTGGTTTTTCATTTAGTGGGGGAAACACTGGATATTTTGAGCTGAGATATTTGTAAATCCTCATTTTCAAAAGAGAGAGAAGTAAACAATATGAACAGGTAGGTCTTACAAATATGTGGCATATATTCTACTAATGGTATAAAGGGTAGTTTTAGCTGCTGTGTAAATAATCATTTTTAGTTTAATAGTTATGAGTTTTAAAACATGTGAATCACTTAGAACAGTGTCTGGCTATGGTAAGCAATAATTGACTAAAGTTTGAGAAACTTTGTGATTATTTCTCATTACCTTCAGGAAAAGTCCAAACTCCTTCCCGTGAATCATGAGCCCTGTAGGGTTGAGCAGATGGGCTTTGGAATTGGTCAGACCTAGTTTCAAACTTGACTCTGTTGTTTATTAGCTCTGGGACCTTGAGCAAGTTGCCCTCGTGTCCTGGTCAGGGTCTGCTGGTTGCAAAGAATAGAAATGCAGCAGCTCCAGTTAAAAAGGGAATTATGATAGGGCTGTAAGTGATCTCATGATAGTGAAGGGCAGAAAGCAGTTCCGCTGTGTGTGTTTGTGCAGTCTGTGCCCTGGACAGGGAGGCCCAGCCCGACGTGGGACTGAAATCCAGGCTGTATTCCACCATGGGGAGGAAAAGGAGTCTTGATATAATTCTTTCCAAGGCATGAACAGAGGCCCTGTCAGGAAGTGCAGAGTGGAGCTGGACTTCATGGGAACTAGGAAATTGTTAGCTAAGGTCTCCGGCTTCCTTGCTTGCTCTGCAGGGTCCCTCATCTGCTTCTCTCTGAGTCTGTGCCATTTTCCCAGGTCTCGCCACAGATGGTTTCTTTCCTTTTCCATGGCTTCTCGCTGCTCTCCAAAGATTAAGTTCCTTGAGACTTTGCCTTGCCAGGGAGCTGACTTATTTGGCCCTGACTCCAATGGGACTTGTTTCAGTTCGAGTGCTCAGTGTTGTCTAACTAGAATATCTGAGTTCAGATTGTGGAGAGAGAGACAGAGACAGAGATAGAGACAAAGACAAAGACAGAGAGACAGGGAGAGTCTATGGCTTGACTCTCTCTGTTCACGTGTCCAGTCAGCTACAATAGTTACCAGAGGAGAGTCCCATGGCACTGGGGCGGGGGTCAGGGGATCCTTTTAGAAGGAAATGTGAGCAGGGAGGCAGAAACCAGCATTTCCAGCAACTCTTTGCTAACCTTTATTGCTTTTATTGTGAAATGAGACTAAAAGGACTGCTTTGCAGATCAAATGAGATAATTTGGTACTAATATGTTAAGTACCTATGTTAGTTTCCCAAGGCTGCCGTAACAAATTACTGCAAATGTGGGGGCTTAAAACAACAGAAATTTATTCTTTCACAGTTGTGGAGACCGGAAGTGCGAAATCAAAGTCTTAGCAGGGCCACAGGTCCCCCAAAGGCTCTAGTGGAGAAGCCTTCCTTGCCTCTTCCAGCTTCTGGTATCTCCAGGCATTCCTTGGCTTGTGGCTACATAACTCCAATCTCTGCCTCCATCTGCACATGGCCTTCTCCTCTCTGTGTGTCTTCTCCTCTTCTGTCTCAAATCTCCCTCTGCCTTTCTCTTATAAGGACACTTATCATTGGATTTAGGGCCCAGCTGGATAATCCAGGATAACTCATCTCAAGATCCTTGACTTTCCCACATCAACAAAGACCCTTTTCCCAAATAAGGCATAGTTTACAGGTTCCAGGGATTTTGGTTGTATATCTTTTGGTGGCCATTTTTCCACCTAACACAGTACCTGACACAGTGCTTGGCTTATAGTAATGGTTCATTCATGGGGCCATTATGATTCTAACAGGGCTCACATGGTGACGAAAGTCAGTTCTCAGCAGGCCCAAGTGCTCTTCTTCATGTATCATTTCCTTCAGAGAAGGATCAGAAGCACCATCCTCTCAAAGAGAAAGACATGAGCAGGGGACCATGTGATTGACAATTAGCCGCTGGGTGAAGTGGATCCCGCTGCCTTGGATCCTTGGTTCTGTGGGTTATTCTGTGACTCAAGGCAAAGTCTAGTCTCTACTTCTTTGTGAGAAATCCAAGTCTCTACAAGCAGTGGAAAGAATATAGACTTTTGGGTCAGGCAGATGAGAAGTCTTGATCCCAGCTCTCCTCGTAACTAGTGGCATGATCTTGGGCAAGTAAGTCACTCTCTCTAAGCTCAATTTCCTCATCTATGACAAAAAGATAATAATAATTACCTCTAGGTGTTGTAAGGATTAAAGGAGGAAAAATATGGAAGGGGCCTTAACAAAATCATGCCCCTCTTCTGCTCAAATCTTCCAGTGGTTTCCATCCCTCTTTGAGTAAAAGCCAATGTCCTTATGATGACTCAAAGGGCCCTTCACCATTTGAACCACTCTCACTTTAACCTCCTCTCCCTCACCCATTACCCTCCAGCTATGCTGACATCCTGCTGTTCCTCAACACACAAGACATATCCCTATCTTAGGGCCTTTGCACTTGCTATTTCTTTGCCTGGAATGCTCTCCTCTTAGATGATGACAAGACTCGCTCCCTTCCTTCCTTTAGGGCTTTACTCAAAAATCACCTCCTCAGTGAAGCCTTTCCTGGCCACTCTCTCTAAAATTGCACCCTACCTCACTCCTACCCAACCCTTCCTATCCGCCTCTCTGCTTTACTATTTCTTCTCATCACTGATCACCCTCTAACATAGTATGTACTTGTTTATCATCTGTCGTCCCTGCTGGCATCTTCATGAAGACAGGATTAGTGTTGTTGTTCTTTCCCTGCTATATCCCTAGTGCCCTAGAACAATGTGTGGTGCGTGATAGGCACAAAATAAAAATTTGATGAGCTGATCTGAATTAATGAATGTTAGTTTCTGTTTACTCGTGAGCTTCAACTTCCTGATCTGCAACATGGGAACTACAGTACAGAGTATAGGCCAGTGTTCCCTGAACCATGATCCCCTAGAAGGTTTGAGTTTGTATTCACACCATCTAGCACCTGACCTGGCACACAGAAGGCACTAGGTGAATGTTGAATAAATGAGCAAATAAACATGTAATAATTTGTGACAGGAAAATAAAGTGTGTTGAAAGTTTATAAGGTATACTGTATTGATAATTAAGAAACTTTACTCCATAATAGGAATGCCTTGCATTTTGATATCAATGCTTTACAAAGCCATTTATTTGGCAGATATTTACTTGTGCCTTCTATGTTCCAGGCATTTGTTTTGGGTACTGAAGCTATGAAGTCACACAGGACGTGGTTGCCTCCTTACAGTTGCTCGCTGACCCGGGTTGGAAATGGACAAGTAAATGGCTAGTTTGAGAGCAGCTCAGTGCGGGTGTCACAGCTGTAAGAACAGAGGTCTGTGGGACAAGTGCAGGAAAAAGTGGCCACTTCAATTTGGGGATGTTGGGGAGCTTCCTCAGAGGAAGGGACATTTGCCAGGAGTCATTTATTTTGCCTGGAGAAGAAAGTGAGGAAAGGGGCTCCGGCCCTAGAGAATCACATTTTCAATGGCCTAAGAGCTGTGGAAGGGTATTTTGTTGCCGTTGTCATCATCTTAACAACAACAATGGCTGCTAACGTTTGTTGGGAATACACTATTTTCCAGGCACTATCCTAATGTGTTAAATGCAAAATTTCCAAGCAGAAGAATCACCTTCTAGAAATACTCATGCCATTTATCCCCACACATCCTATGGGTAGGTAGAATAGATTTATTATCCTCATTAAGAAATGAGAGACTTAAGACTCTTATTTCTTTTATGCTCTCACTAAACTGGTATCTGAATAACCCGATAATTTAAATAACCTAGTAAACCTACAACTTATTTTCTGTTTTCTTCACAATTTGTTTTATTTTCTTCTCATCACTGATCACTATACACACACACACACACATACATACATGTACACACATATATACCATATATATGATTATATATATGGTTATATACATATTTTTATATATATTTGGTGTATATATATATTTTAATTTGTACATAATCTTTCCTTTCTCTCACCAAAAGGCGAGCTCCATGAGAGCAGGGACTTTGTTGTGTTCATTGCTATATCCTAAGCAGACAAGGGGCCCTGCATAAGTACTTGTTGAATAAAGAAAAGGAAGAAGGATCTCGTGGGGGTTATTACATAGGATCATCAGTGAAAAAGGCAGTCAAATGTTTTCTTGCAAATGCAACTGTATCTCATTTCTCATTTCCAGACAGCACAGTTTAACTGGGATCCAGAGACGGTAGGCCTTATCCACGGATCTTTCTTCTGGGGTTATATTGTGACACAAATTCCAGGTGGATTCATTTCAAACAAGTTTGCTGCTAACAGGTAAGATAAACTGATAGAACACGAGTCCTGCACAGATCATCACATGGCTTTGTGCTTTTACAAAATCTGCATAGTTGACTTTCAATTTAGGGGTGCAGGATGAAAGACAGGACCCATTCTGACAGAATGTCTTGTGCTTGGCTGGTCCTAGGACACAGCATGTTTCTCAGATAGTCAGTATCCCTTTCTGGTAAAGTGAGAGCAGAGTTGGGAAGGAGGAGACACAACCACAAATGTGCAAAAGTCACGAGGTAATAGACTGGGTCAGTTGAGTGGAGCCAAGCAGAAGGGTAGGTCTCCAGCAAGCTCACCTCATACTGGTCAATCTCCAGCTTCAGGAGCTCATCCAGGCAGAACATCCCCATACCGCCAAAAGCCTGCCCACAATTGGTCCAGGGACTGGAGCTCGGGAATCAAAGCAGCCCAACCGTCTAGCTTGGGACACACCAGACCCGAACACAGCATCTATTTCTCTGAATTAATTTCTATTAATTTCCATAGTGATCTTCCATGAACTGTTAAGTTCGTTTCTGATGTTTAACTGAAGTGCCGCACCCATCAGCAGGCCTGCCCAATAACACAGTGTGTTGGTCTCTCAGGGTCTTTGGAGCTGCCATCTTCTTAACATCGACTTTGAACATGTTCATTCCTTCTGCGGCCAGAGTGCATTACGGCTGTGTCATGTGTGTCAGAATTTTGCAAGGTCTAGTGGAGGTAAGAGATACTTTTCTTACAGTTTTCGATATTGCCGGAGATAACATGGTTCTTTAGAAAATTTGGCTTCTGAAAAAGACCCTCTTTATTCAGTTTTCCTATCTTCCATCTTGTCCTGCTATCTCAGCTCTCTGGTTATGGCTACAATTATGAATACTTTAATTAAAATGTCTTGTGTGATTCCAAATTTATATACAATAAAGGACCATTTCACAAAAGCACAGAATTTCAGATGAGTCAGGAATGATCTCAGAGATAATCTAATCTGACCCCTTTCATTTAAAAAATGATGAAACTGAAGCCCCAAACCTACAGTTTACATAACAAGGGCTCTTTCTGCTAAATCAATGTAAATGGATGTATTAATAAATCTGTACATTTCTTTGGATGTAGTCTGACGCAGAGATTTCACTTGATGAAGGGGGTAGCATGATATAGAGCCAGAAGGTAAATATTTTGGACTTTGTTGGCCATACACTCTTTGTTGCAACTACTCAACTCTTCCGTTGTAGTGTGAAGGCAGCCAGAGACAATACGTAGACAAATGGATGTGGCTGTGTGCCAACAAAACTTTTTGGACACTGAAACTTGAATTTTACGATATTTGACCTTTTCCCTCTGACTTATTTCACTTAGCATAATACGCTCAAGGTCCATCCATGTTGTCACAAATGGCTGGATTTCATCATTTCTTGTGGCTGAGTAGTATTCCATTGTGTATATATACCACATCTTCTTTATCCATTTGTCCCTTGACAGGCACTTAGGTTGCTTCCAAGTCTTGGCTATTGTGAATAAATACCATATGATCTCACTCATAAGTAGACAATAAAAACAACAACAAACAAACACATAAAGACAGAGATTGGATTGGTGGTTACCAGAGGGGAAGGGGGAAGTGAGGAAGGCAAAATGGATGATTAGGCACATGTGTGTGGTGATGGATTGTAACTAGTATTTGGGCGGTGAACATGATGTAATCTATGTAGAAATAGAAGTATAATGATGTACACCTGAAATTTATACAATGTTGTAAACCACTGTTACTGCAATTTAAAAAAAAAAAGAAACTTGAATTTTATATGATCTTTACATGCCATGAAATATTCTTCTTCTTTGAATTATTTTTCTCCGTAGTTAAAAATATAAAAATCATTCTTAGCTTAAGAGCTGTACAAAAACAGATAGTGGGCCAAATCAGGCCATAGTGTGCCAACCCTGATGTAGAGCAATGTTTCCAAAACTCAGTCATTCACCTCTAACCTTCATCACTTTTGTCATATCCATGTACAATTTGTGCTATTATTTACCTATGGTTTTTCCGTAGATAAACTCACTTAAAAAAAAAACAAAAAAACCTCATCCTAAGCAATAATATCTTTGAAATCATGGGTTTGATGTGCCAGTTACATTTTTTTCTAAAGCATATTAGAATGTATATGTCGCAATTACAATAAAAAATGTAGGTTGTTATAGTACCTCAAATCCAACTCTAATCCCACTAAAGGGACATATACCACACTTTGGAAAAATACTGGTGTGACAGAAAGAACATGATATTAGCATCCATGAAGGCTAGGATCTAGTCCCTTAATGTCACTCATATTCTATATCTTGAAATGAGATACTGGACCAGCTGAGTGCAGAAGTCCCTTTCTACACTGATATTCTATAATAATGTGAAATATAAAGATCCTCTTCCCCATTCCCTACCATGCTGACATTGGAACTGAAATCCAAATTTCAGCATCTGTGCTGTAAGTCAAAATTGCTGACACATGCTATCTAGTATTATGAATTGGGCTTTTATACTGTAGCCTGTCTTAAAGAAGCAAGGTTCATGTTTTAAACACAAACAGAAACTGAAATCAAATCAAATAATCTATTTTCAACCAATTTGCCAGGGTGTGACCTACCCAGCCTGCCACGGGATATGGAGTAAGTGGGCACCACCTTTGGAGAGAAGCCGACTGGCCACAACTTCTTTTTGTGGTAAGTGTATTAGAAGTTTCATTGAGGAATGCTTTTGGCTTCAAGTAACTGAAAATCCTACTAAACAGTCAATTTTTTCCCACTACAGAAGTTCAAAGATGAGTGGTTGCTAGTGTTGGTTTTGCTGCTCAATGATCTATCCAGGGCCTGCACATGTTCTGACTTTCTACTCTGCCATCCTCAGAGTGACAGCTTTTTACTTTCTTGCTTGCTTCTCATGTTCACAAGATGGCTGTCTTAGCTCCAGGAATCAAGCCCACATTCAAGGCAGGAAGAATTGTGGATAGGTATCCTACCCATATCTGTTCCTTTCACTAGGAAAGGAAAAGCTTTCCCAAAACCCTCTAGCAGGCTTCCACTTATATTTTGTTGGCCCTATTTGTGTCATATGCTTTACTAACTGCAGAGGAGGCTAGGAAAGCAAGGGCCTAGCTTTGTCAGCATCTTTAGTAGAGGGAGATAAGAAAGAAGGGGTTAGAAGTGGTTGTTGGATTAGCCAACAAATGATATTTGCCTAGGTCAAAAGCGGAAGAGATAGAATAATCAAGTGCCCCACGCCTCTTCTTTTTACAGATGGAGACACTGAAACTAAAGTTTAAATTTTAGTTTCGCTAAACAGAAAGTCAAGTCTAAGACTTGCCCATGGTCAAGGCTGTAAGTCATGGAGCTGGAGCTAGACCACCTGATTCTTGATTCACTCTACTGTGCACACGTTGTCCTAGAGACCTTTCAATTAATTTTTGCCATTGTATTCCAGATAAAAAGCAAGGTGGAGACCATCCATCTTAACTGAAAGTAAGCTAGTGGTCCCTAAGTAGTGATGTCACTCTAATTCCTGAGCCTCCAAAGTCCACGTTGCTAAGGTCGCCTCACTCCAATCCATGCTTTTGGGACTGGCCCCTCTATGTATCCCTGGGAGTAATCAGCATTCTGAAGGGTCAGCCTAGGTACCAGTCAACAATAGAACAAGGATACACATGCTGCTGCCATCAACACAGTTGTAAAATCTATCTTCAAATATTTTTTTATGGGGGAAAGGACCTAGGAAGACAAAAGCGCCTTAGGCGACGAAAGTCACAGTGGGGCCCGGGCAGAGTTAGTACTGGGTCTTAGGTCTGTCTGACTTTTCAAGCTAGCACTTCTTTCCTAGAAGAAGCTAACTCCTACTTCTTAGCTAAGGAGAGAAATAAAGCTTCCTCTTTATTTCTGTGAACATTTTATTTATTTCTTCCTCACTCTTTCTCTTTACCTCCTTTAAATACCACTACTACTACTACTACTACTACCACCACCACCAATAACTAACAATAATAATAAAAACGAATCCCTGGGAATTTGGTGTGAATTATTTGCCAATGTGTCTATTTTGTGACCAGTTTGGAATTACATGCACAGCTGAGACGTCTCTATATCTTTAGCCTCTCTTGTCCTTAGAAACCATTTCTGTCCTCTCGTTTGCAGTTCAAGATCATCTCCACCTCACTACTGACCTTACACCAACTCTAGAAGAATATAATGTTCTGCCCCAGCTGACCTTGTGAACCGTCAGATCCTTGATCTTGTTTTCTTTGATGGTTTATTTATAAGGCCTTTCATTTTGATTTGCCAGCAAAACAAGAACGACTAGCAGCCACTCCCCATTCTTAGTGTCTTTATAGACCTTAAAGGGCTGATTTAAGAAATAGTTTGACTCTCAAGGAAAGTTGCCTGATCAAGGTCACAGGGTTTATTGCATTTCCCTGCTGAGGCGTGGCCTTGGTTTCAGAGAGCAGCCAAGAGAAAACGTCCTTAGAAGGAATCTTAGGCTTGGGGTGGATCAGGGCTTACACTCAAAATGTACTGGAGTTGGAAGGGGCTTTAGAAAATATCTAGTCACATCCATTGTTTTATAGTGGAGAAAACTGAGGCTCAGGGAGGAAAAGCAAGATAATTTCACACAGCTAGTGAGGACAGAACTGGGGACTCTTTCCCACACACAATTCAGCTCCTCCTCTCTTCCATGTTAACAAACATTGGAAGGCCTCCTCTGCCCTCGTGGTGAGCACACAGAGGGATCAGGGCGCAGTCTGTTCCCCAGGGCAATAGGGGGCAGTGCCCCATTGGGGTATGCACAGGGGCTGTGGGTGTGATAATCTCCTATGACTTTTGAGTGGAGGAGGCTGGATTGAATATTAAATAGTTAAGGATAAAGGCTTTAGATTCTTACAGACCTGGGTTGCTGTCAGTCACACCTGTGTGACCTCAGGCAATTTACCTCTCCTCCCCCAGCCTTGGTTTCCTCCTTCCAAAATGGGGATGATATTGGTACCAACATCACTAGGTTGTAAAGAGAGTTAAATAAAATCCAGGTCCAGAATATTCAACACAGTACTCGGCACACACGAAGCACCCAATGCATCTTAGTTGTTGGTTATTCCTTGACCCTCCCTGTCCCAGATCTTCCTTAGTATCACCTAAACTGGCCCCTCACTCCCAGGGTAAGTGGCCGGGGATAAAGACCACCTTCTCCACACCCACAGTGGAGTTGGGCCTGCAGCTCTTTCTAAACCATATGCCCTGGAATGCTTGCCTTATTGTTTTGAAGAAGTCTGAGGTAAAAAAGAAAACATGTGTGCTGTCATTCTGCACATGACAGTGGCAGTAATAGTTGGCGTTTGTGCAGCACTAATTATGCTTACAAAACGTCTTAACACACTTAGTTTATTTGGTCCTCAAAACAACCCCAGGAGATAGAGATTTATTCCCATCCTCTCTCTGAGGAAAGTGATTTGGAGAGATTGAGAGACTTCCTCAGGCGTCATGATGTTCAGATTTGGGATTCCAAGTTGGACCTTTCATAGTCAGTCAGGCCCAGCTTGGAATGATGGGATTTCATCCTTTTCTGTAGAAGATCCCCAAGCTCTCTTGTCCTGAAGATCTTCCTCAGCGTTGGATTCTGGGATACAGAATTTCCTTTGGCTGCTCACTTTTTCTGAAGCAAGAGTTCTTTCATTCACGGCCCAGAGGAATTTCAGATAGTAATGTTTTGGTTCGGTTAATATTTATTGGGAGTTCGCAGGGCTCATGTTTCTCCAGCAGATATCACGGAGCTGCAGGAGATAGTGGAGGCCAGGTCACTGCCTCTGGCCCTCATTATCTTGTCTAGACGAGATAAACATCCACACATAGGTAAGTATTTACAAGGTTAAGTATTTACAAAGCAGGAAATAAACTTAAAAATGTACCCATTCAGGAGGGTGATGGAAACAGAAGCCATCCTGGTCATCTTGCCATCCTGGAATTTAACTGTTTCCTGATTTAAAAAAAAAATCAAGACTCTAAAAAGCATGATCTTTAATAGTTTGAAGTCCCTCATTTAAAGACCTCGGTGATACTCCTGAACTGTGAGCTCTGACAGGCAGATGCATTTGCTCCTTCGCTTGCTATCTTTAGTACCCAGTATTGTACCTGGTTGAATTTTTCAGATTTCTCTTAGATTTTTCTCATCTTTTTTATTCTATTCTGTCATGTGATTCCAAATCGCTGTGCCTGAGCAATCTCTGTCTTATCCCGCCATGGTACCTGGATGAAGTCAAAGAGTATTCTGGTGACCTTTCTCTTCTGCAAGCCCTGTGTTAAGGAATACCAGGTGTTTGCCTGTCCTTCTATACGGAGGCATTCTGACTCCTGCTCAGTTTGACTCATCCTCAACTCGAGTACATGAACTGTAAATGGGATGAAGGGGCTTGTATGACCATTGGTAAGTTTCCCTCAATCTTTTCTTGTTCTAGGTTCCTATGCGGGGGCAGTGATTGCCATGCCCCTGGCTGGGGTGTTGGTGCAGTACATTGGATGGGCCTCCGTCTTTTATATTTATGGTGAGTGATTTGACTTCCTGAGTTGCCATGGTTGACTCACAGAGATGGTATTTTACTGTATAATGGTGTTGGCTAAGAATTTACCATATGAAAATAGAGATTGCTAGGACAAGTTTATCATATAAATAGAATACTTGTCTACCTAGGATTCATTTAACATTTATATTAAGGTTGAGGTTCTTAATGAGCATAACATTATGTTTCTTTAAATACCAGTTAATAACAATAGGCAAATCAACAAAAGATTTTCTCCTAGCTGAACATAATGCTATTTGAGAATATTTTGAAAACTGAAAAATTTAGAGATGGAACAAAAGAAGACTATATCATCAAGCCTTTTGTTTTTTAACTGCAGGTATGTTTGGGATTATTTGGTACATGTTTTGGCTGTTGCAGGCCTATGAGTGCCCTGCAGCTCACCCAACAATATCCCACGAGGAGAGGACCTATATAGAGACAAGTATAGGAGAAGGAGCCAACGTGGTTAGTCTGAGTGTAAGTATAGATGGATAGATGAAGACTTGCCTCTTTCCTGTGAGTATTTCTCTCAGTGTTTGTGCTGTCCTCTTAAGAAAAACAACATGTCAATATATTCACTAAAAATCTCGTGGTATTTTTACTCTCTAGAAATTTAATACACCGTGGAAAAGATTTTTCACATCATTGCCGGTTTATGCAATCATTGTGGCAAATTTTTGCAGAAGCTGGACCTTTTATTTGCTGTTAATAAGTCAGCCTGCTTATTTTGAAGAGGTCTTTGGATTTGCAATAAGTAAGGTAAACACGTAGATGGTTTCAAATGTTCTTGAACTTTAAATCTCTTGCTTCTACTGAGAAAATCTTTGCATGAATAAAATAATTAAATTGCTGACCATAAGTCATGACAGTTCTGTGACACCTAATACCCTGGAGGTCAGACAAGTTATACATTCTGTGCGTAGTATACATAGCTATTTAATTTCTTCCTGGGAAAGATCAGAGCTGAATTAAGCTGCTTTTAAAGATTTATGTTCTACCCGATTTCAAAGTGTTTTTGAAGCTAACTCAAGGGCTGCATATTAGGCAAGGATAAAAGGATAATAAGATTTGAGAGTGAGAGTTTTTTTTTCTTATAAATTACTTAGTGAATAGCAGTAAGAACCTTAAAGCTCATTTTACAGATCATCCTTCTCTCCATAATGGTGGTTATAGCAATAACGACCATTGCTTTGTATGATTGAGAAAGAGCTGTTCTCAGTGTCCCCAGCCATTGTCATTAGGTTGTCTTTGTTTTGGGGAGAAAGGGTGTGGATGGTTCTCATTTTTGCATGCTATTCTCTCATGTAATTCCAAAGCACTGTGCCTAAGCAATCTTTGTCTAATCCCCCCACGGTACCTGGATGAAGTTAAAGGGCATCTTGGTGACCTTTCTCTTCTGGAAGCCCTATTTGAAGGCACACTGGCAGTTTGCCTGTCTCATCATAAAAGAATTAGGGCTGCTTCCTACAAGGGAAAGAACAGCAGCCTAGTAGAGGTAGACGTCTGCATAGCTCCAGGTACCATCCAAAGTGGCCGTGGGAGAGTTAGCATGGTCAAGTAACAGTGGCCGCCATCAGTGGACACTCACTCTGTGCCAAGTGTTTAACCACCACGTGCCAGGTCCTATGCTGGTGCTGGGGCCTATGTGGTGAATAAAAGTCATCTCTGTCCTCAAGGACCTCCCAATCTGGTGGAGAAGACAGTTAGATCTATACCTAAAATCATTCACTCATTCGTTGTTTATTTATTACAAAATTCAGGCCTACCGGGGTCCTCTATGATTAGATGATTAAATTTGGTTGTGGTGGGGTGGTGGAGGTGGTGGGGGCAGGGAATTAGGGAAGTACGTCTCTCAGAAGTAGCTAAAATTATCTCATTGTTTCTTTTCATTCCAGGTGGGTCTCTTGTCAGCAGTCCCGCACATGGTTATGACCATCATTGTTCCTATTGGAGGACAACTGGCTGATTACTTAAGGAGCAGAAAAATTTTGACCACAACTGCTGTCAGAAAAATCATGAACTGTGGAGGTACCGTGATTTCACAGGTGGCTTAAACAGCTTTGATAAAATGAGATGAAATTGAACTGCAGAGCATAGTTTGGAGATTATATCTAATCACTGGAAAGGATCTTAAAGGCCCCAAAGTCCAACCCCCAGCAGGCACTGAGTGTCCATCACACCCCTGCCAAGTGGTCATGCAGCCTGTGCCTGAGCAACCTGAGATACGACAACTTAGTCGATCAATAAATACACACCCGCAACCGCAGAAACGCTTCTTTCATCTGCTCTTAAGCCAAAGCAACCTGATTGATTTCCTGTTCCTTATCTGTTTATTGTTTATCTTTCCCATACCTCTTTCCACATACATAATCTTTTGTTTATGTAGTTTATTCCCTTATCTCCTTCTTCCCTTTCTACATATACACATCTTTTGATAACAAACAGAGAAAATATTATCTCTGAATAGTCTTCTTCCCTCCCAACATAGGATTGTGCATGGGGTATATACACACACACACGTACACACATACACATCATCTTCTTTCCTGCTTTATTTAGTTCTTGCTTTGTGTTTTGATTTTGCAAAAACAAAGTAGAAGCTGAGTGATTTTCTAGAAGAGGCAGGTGAAAGTAATTGTGAACCCCACAACATTCATGACTGCTCACCGTTTTTAAACCCTCTACTTTCTTCCTGTCTCTTTGTTTTGCTCCTAAAATTAGCATTTATTGAATGCTTTCTGGGCTAGACACTAAGCTAAGTCCCTTATGTACATTATCTTATTTAACCCTCATAACCACATTGTCGAGCAAGTGCCATTATAAACCCCAATTCACAGTGAGGAGGCTGGGGTGTAATAAAGTGACTCACTCAAGTGGCAGATCTTGTGCAAGATCCCAGGTCTGTCTGAACTCGTGAATGCTTGCAGTTACTGCTGCTACCTCCCCAGGGGACTGGGGGTCACAATGGGCAGGTGGGAGGGAGAGGACAGTGCCATCTATGGGCGAAAGGTCGCAACTGTGAAATTAAGTTGAAAAGGCGGGCGTGGGTGTACTGTGCCTCTAGATTACATGGGTCAGGGCCATTTAGAAGGGAGGATCCTATGGAGGGATGCAAGAACAGGCATGATCTGATCCCACAGCATCTCATGAATAAAGTCTGATCAGGGAGATTGGGAATAATCTATCAGCATCTGGTCTCCCAGCCGTCTGACTGCTGGTCCCAAACAGGGATGTTCGGGCCTGCCCTTGACTTGAACTTTTCTATAGGAGGCTGAGGATTGGTGGGTGTGGTGTTGCTCTCTGGAAGGTGAGAGGTGAAGCTCTGGGGCACTACATTCAGGATCCTCCCCAAGGTAGTTGAGGTAGGCAGAATAACAGCCCCTCAAAGATGTCTATGTCCTGATTCCCAGAACTCGTGAATGTGTTTCCCCACGTGGCAAAAGGATCTTTTCAGATATGATTAAATTAAGGATCTTGAAATGGGAGACTATTTTGGATTATCTGCATGTGCCCAGTGTAATTACAAGTGTCCTGATAAGAGGAGGCAGGAGGATCAGAGTCAGAGAAAGAGACGTGATGGTAGAGGCAAGGGTCAGAGTGATGCAGCCACAAGCCAAGGAATACAGGCAAACTCTAGAAGCTGAAAAACACAAGAACAGAGTTTCTCCTAGAGCCTCCAAAAGGAATGCAGCTCTGCTGACACCCTGATTTTAGCTCTGTAGGACCTATTTTGGATTTCTGACCTCAAGCACCGTACAACAATAAATTTGTGTTGTTTTAAGCCACTAAGTTTGTGGTGATTTATTACAGTAGCAATCAGAAGCTAATACAGTAGCCAAAGTCTCACTCGTCTAATTATCAGATCCTGTTCCAGCTGAATAGCTCTCCACACAAGGCCCTGAATATATCTTTCTGTTTCTGACTTCACTCATTCCCTTTCCCTTTCCTGTGACTTCTGCTCACCTTCACCTCTTATCCCAGTCCTCTCCACACATCCTACCACATCGGCTCAAGTGTTTCCTCTTGTGTTTTGTTAGGGCTGCATCAGCCTCCAGTGATTGTTCCTTCCTATCCATATACTTGGTTGGCAGCTCATCATGTACTACCTTATCACAGCTCTGGCAGGAGAGTGTTTAGGCAGAGGGAATAGCATGTGCAATGGCCCTGAGGCAATCATGAATGTAGCATGTTAGAGAACAGAAGAAAGGAAAGTCAGAAATGGTTGGAGCTTAGTGAGTGAGGCAGGGAGACTGACAGGAGATGGGATCAGAATGCTCTTCTGGGGCCAGATAGTGGGAGTCCTTGTAGACATACACAGAGCTGGGGTTTTATGTGAAGTGCATTGGGAAGCAAATAGGGGGTTTAAAGCAGGGAAAGGGACAGAACATAGAACACAAGAGTAAAAGAAAGGAGTTGGAGAGAGACTCCAGCTAGGAGGCTATTTCAGTTGTTCTGTCAGGAGAAGATGGTGGTTTGAACTGAAGTAGGGTCAATGGAGGTGAAGAGCAGTGGATGGATTTTTAAATTCTCTGAGACTAACTTTCTTCTTCTTTAAAATCTGAATGAGAATATTTACCTCAGATGATTGTTATGAGGATTAAATGAGACGTTTAATGCATCTAGCATGGGTCCAACCTATAAAACTTTCTTGACATATGTTAGTACCTTTCTCTTCTCCTGTGTTCAAGATGCTGACAAAACAGAAGTTTTCCAGAGGAGGCATTCAATAAATATCTGCTATTCAATCTTATTTCCCGTGGCCAAAAATATGCAACTTCAAAACCTGGAACTTGAAAGAAAATTCTGGATCTAAACTTCACTTGTACAACCTCTTCTAAAGCCAGATGCCTTGAAGACTCTAACATGTTTTTTTGTTCATATTTGATTTTGCCCCAATCACCTCTGCCATTGTTTCTTTATAGTTGGTAGTGTTGGAGTTGGGTGGTGGTGGTGGTGAGAACTCTCAAAGATTTTCAAAGATTAGAGGTACTAGTAAAGTGCCTATTGAGAGTATATTTCTTTTTTTTTTTTTTTTTTTGCAGAAAGTAGAATGCATACACAGAATCTCCCCAGCCTCTCTCCCATCTTTAAAAAAAAAACCTCTTCACATATCTTTTCATGTCTTTTTATATTTTGACATAGCAGGACCAGTGAGCTCTATATAAAAAGTTAAAAAAAAAAAACAGAACAACATTTTGCTTATATACAGAGATGCTAGACTAGAGATAAATACATAAAGACAGAGTTTTGTGCCATCACTGAATAAGCCAGATTGATTTGGATATAAGGAAGTGCTTGCGTGATCTTCTAGAGAATTTTAGCTGGCTTCGTGTTTTCCGAGAAGAAATACAAAGGACGTTTCTCATCTGAGAAAGATCACACATTTCTTGGAGTCTGTCACCTCCTTCTTTTTTTTTCCATAGGCAAGAGATATTGCTGCTAGAATCATGTAAAGCAAACAGATCATCTTAAGACATGATGTTCTATTCTAGTTCATTCTGAATCAGGGCACATTTCCAAAATCCTCCAAGACAGATGTCAAATCCTTGTACCTCCTTCTATAATATGTGTAAAGTGCGCCTGAGGTAAAAAATTCTAGTCTGGCTGAATTGGTTGCCCGTGTGAGCTTCAGATTGTTTTAATATGAAATGAAAAAATTTCTCAGGTCTTTAAATCCTAGTTCTGTTTTTCTTGTCAGCTCTGAACAGGTTCACTTTCAAGGATTTCTTGATCACCCTGGCGTTCAAATTTTATCCTTCAGCTTCTGAAACACACAGTCCTGTCTCTAGCATTTTCACTATAGATAGGAACCATTTAGGCTCTGAAATGCTTTTTCTTCCTTTGGAAATCTGCTATTTGGCAAAGATCTTTTTTTTTTTTTTTTTAATAGATGAACCATTGTATCATTTGTAAGTTTTATTCTTCACACAATGTCTTCATTTTAGTTCTTTGGGGGAATTAATTTTATAGTACAACCTCTGCTGAGAGTATTAAGATAAAAGAAGTTTCAGCCAGACGCCTTATTATTTAAGACAGGCCACTTGTAAAACACATATACTTAGTTAGCAATCTTGTCTTATGTATAATTTAAAATGTTGAAACAAAATCAATAACAAGTAGCCATGGGATAAAGCCCACAATTTAAAGGCACCACTGCTTCCATAATTTCATTTGATCCTTTTTAGACAACCATCTAAAACAATTATTGATGCTTGCCTTGTTTCTATGATAATTTTGAGGAAATGGGCTCAGAAAGGTAAGCAATTTGCCAAGTCCACAAAAAGTACTTTAGCTTACATTTCAACCTAATTATTTTGATTCTGGGTGCCATTTTCTTTCCTCTGCGTTAATTCATTAAACATTATTTATTGAAAGCCCACTACATGCTAGCCAGGCTCTGTGCTAATACATGGCACTTTCCTGGATAGCACCACAGTTTTGTTGGAGAAGCAGAAACAGAGATGAAAAATTACAAGGCAATGTTGAAAAGTTTTATAAAATGAAGATGAAGAAGAAGGAGATGTGAGCTTCACCAGTGGGGGAGGGGCAGAGTTGTCAGGGAAGCTTCCTAGAGGAAGCAATATTTGAACTGGACTTTAAAGGATAGTAAAATTTCTCCAGAAAAAGAGAAATATGTGGTGGGAGAGGAGTATCCCAGGCAAAGGAACAGCCCGTGAAAATATATTATGGGCATGAAACAGTGTTGTGATTGGGAAATGGCTAATAGACCTGTGTGACTACAACAGAGGGCTTTATATGGGCCTAGGGGTGGTGAGCAGGGACGTGAGGGCTGGCAGAAGATGAGCTGGAACAGCAGGAGAGACTTATTATATAACAATATACTAATAATGTGGAACCCTTGACAAAAGTTTTAAGCAAAAGAGCAACTGATCAGATTAGTGGTTTAGAAAGATAGTGATGTGGAGAATGTCAGAGGAAGAAGAGATGGAAAGACCAATAAAGAGGCTATTGAAGTTGTCCAGGTGAGAGGTCATGACCCCAGGACTAAGACAGTGGCAGGGGAGGGGAAAGCAGAGGTTGGATTTGACAGGTATTTCTGAGGTCCAACCTACAGATTCTTATGTGAAAACTGAGGAAGAGGGAGAAGTCCAAGATGATCCTGAGATTTCCACGTTGGACTTTTGGTTACCATTTGTTGAGCTGAGCCCATGTGCTGGTGGTCGTGCCCAATACCTTATATACCCAATTTCATTTAATGTTTCAGTGCTACAGAGTTGTATTATTAGCTCCATTTTTGGGCATGAAGGATCTAAGAGGTGAAGTGACTTGTCCAAGGTCACACAATTAGTGATTTTTGAGGTGGAATCTGAACCCAGGCCTCTCTAACTCTAAAGTCTGGGTTCTAAACACAGGTGGGTAGAAGATTCATTTAGAGAAGAAGACAGAGCATGGTGGTGGTGGTTTGCTTTGTTTGTTTAGGAGTAAGAAAACAGGGTAACAGAGACTTGATTTGGGCATGTTGTCTCTGAGGTAACTCTAGGACAACTGCGTGGAGATGTCTGGAATCAGCAGATATTTCCAGTATGAAGCATCATTTCATTGTCTTCCACCTCCCAGGGTACTTCATATACCTGGAAATGGGGTTTATATCATCTTTATTTCTGCTGTTGGCCGAACTTGTGTGTGTGTGTGTGTGCGTGTGTGTGTTTTGATGAGAAGGAACATCTTCATAATTTCTTCATCCTTTTTTATTGTGCTGGATTCGTTTATTCTGAATGAAAGGAACAGAAAGTACTTTTGTCCTGCTGTATTTTCTGTGCAAATATCTCATGGCGTTTATAAAGAGGCCTGAGAGCTTGGTGAACTTCTGAAAGGAAAGAATTTTGCCTTATGCTTTACAAGCAGTGAGGCTCTGCTTTTTGTTTCAGATATTCGCTATAGCTTTCTGGTCACTTTGGCAATAAATATTAGACTGTTGTCATTTTATTTTTCTGTGAGAGACTGTCACTTATGTAATCAAAAGAGAATCGTTGACAGTTTTAGTATTTAGAAATGGCAGAGGGAACTACCCATGAAGCAACTGATAGTAAACATCCCTCATCCCAGGGGATCACTGGGACCTACTGGGAACATTCACTGTTCAAGGTGCACCAGGATAATGTTGGAAAGCTCACAGAACACCTGGGTAGTATTAGCATAGTCATGTAGTCAAGAAACACCTAGGTAATGTTGTAAACACTGCCAGAATGTATGTACTAAAAACTTAGGTCCATGGAAATAGAAATAGATTCTTATTTGATAAATTCATGAACTTGAGCTGACTGATGTGAAAATGACCTTTTTTTCCCCTGCTGTTTCCACTCACAGGTTTTGGCATGGAGGCAACCTTACTCCTGGTGGTTGGCTTTTCCCATACCAAAGGGGTGGCTATCTCCTTTCTGGTGCTTGCTGTAGGATTTAGTGGCTTTGCTATTTCAGGTAAAGTGTCCTTTGGTTTTCCAAATCTTTTCCATAGATTCAGCAAGTCTTGGGAGGAAGGAAGGAAAAGGATACAGTTGTACCTTTCTTTGGTAGCCAGGCCGTTCTCAAGGAGCAGGGCCAGTAGCTAGAAACTTTCACTGAGTGAAGATGACTTAGGAACCCAGTGAAGCTGGAAATGTCCGTACTTTCTCCAACTTGGAAAAAGACACGAAGTGCAGGTGACCCCCGTGGGACATGGGCAGAGATCCAAGCCTGTGACCTGGGTGAAGTGGCACTTTTGTACTTCAGCACCAGGTCACCCTACCTAACAGAGGCTCTTGACCTTTTCAATCCTCACCGCCTCTGGAGAACTGCTAGTATTAGCTCAAACGTCAAATGATGTGATCATTTGACATAAAGTCATAGAACCCAAAGTTTTTAGAGTGGAAATCTTCTTTAGATTCTGTCTACTCCATGGCCTTCATTTTCCAAACAAAGAAATGCAGGTCCAGAGAGGGAAGGTGACTTTTTCAACAGACTAGAGCAGGAAGTAAGAATGATGATGATGATGGTGAGAGCTCACGTTGATCAAGCACAGATTCCGTGCCAGAGACTGTTCAGAGCCCTCTGTGTGTATTAACCCCTGTAATTCTCACAGTTACCCTAGGGGGTATCAGTGCTATCAGTCTCCCTATTTGACAGGAGCAGAAACCAGTCTGCTGTGTGTGAGAGGCCAGAGCACTATCATATCATGTCTTATACAATTCAGAAGCTCACTATGTAAATCTGGATGAAAAAGTAAAATTCAGTTGTTTTTCTACCTTTAACACATGCTTTAATACTAAAAACGATCATGTACAGAGCACTTTATATATATTATATCTATCTCATGACATTGTGAAGCAAGTAGTAACATCACTATTTTACTGATGAGGAATCTGAAAACTCAGAAAAAATGGATACTTTCTTAATGTCACACAATTAGTGGCATGGGAGAACTAAAGTGCAACTCTGCCTGGCTCCACACTTGTGCTCTTTTCACCATTCCAGGCTGTCTTAAAGATCAGACAGAGTGATAACGTCCCAGAACAGAAAAATATGGAACTTCTGGTCTAAACTACCTTAAAATAGGGACTTGATCTTATCAAAATCAATAGGGCTGATGAATAGTTAAATTAGGAAAAAATGTCTACTTTAAAAGTAGCTTGCAGCTAAGAACTTGTGTTTGGAGGTACATAAACATGTGTTTGAGACCTCTTTACTACTTAAAAGAAAAAATTCTTTTTTTTTTTTATTTATTTTTTCCCCCAAAGCCCCAGTAGATAGTTGTATGTCATAGCTGCGCATCCTTCTAGTTGCTGTATGTGGGACGCGGCCTCAGCATGGCCAGAGAAGCGGTGTGTCGGGGCGCACCCGGGATCCGAACCCGGGCTGCCAGCAGCGGAGCGCACGCACTTAACTGCTAAGCCACGGGGCCGGCCCCTGAAGAAATTTGCTTAATTATTTAAATCCTCAAGCTGCAGTTTCCTAGAGATTGGAGAGATGCGATGGCAGCCTCCTAGGGTTGTTGGGAGATCTCAATAAACTGAAATAATTTGTGCATTCACTCACACTTCCCATGAGCCAGGGCCTGTTCTTGGCACGAGGGATATTGCAGTGAAAAAAAATAAAATATCCTTGGTGGCGCAGCGGTTAAGTGCGTGCTCTCCGCTGCGGAGGCCCAGGGCGCGCACAGCCACACCGCTTGTTATGCCATGCTGTGGCGGCGTCCCATATAAAGTAGAGGAAGATGGGCACGGATGTTAGCCCAGGGCCAGTCTTCCTCAAGAAAAAAGGGGAGGATTGGCATCGGATGTTAGCTCAGGGCTAGTCCTCCTCACACACACAAAAATAAATAAATAAAAAATAAAAGATTCTGTCCTCATAAAGTTTACATTCTAGTGGAAATAAAGCATTTGAAGCCCTTATGCCTAGTGCCCGTAAAAGGTATTCACTATTATTGCTCAATTATTATCCACTCTGGCCTAGTGCTTCTCAAACTTTAACGTGCCTACAAATCACCCTAGGATCTTGCAAAATGCGGATTCTGATTCAGCAGGTCCAGAGTGGGGTCTGAGATTCTGCATTTCAGACAAGCTCCCCAGTGATGCTGATGCTGCTGATCAATTGTCCACACGTTGAGTTGCAGGGATAGAGCAATCACTACTTGCTTCCACTAGGATGTTGAGGAATACCTTCCTTTGATAGCTCTGTGATGCAAAAGAGATTCATATCCTGTCCCCAAAGATATTGAAACGTTCAGGTTCATATTGCCTCCAGGTTGCCAATTACATCGCAATCAGAAGGAAAGAAACTCAACACCCCAAATCACAGCAGCTGCCATTACTTTTTTTAGCACTTACTCCATGCTAGCCATTTTTTAGACATGATCTCATTTAATCCCTGTAGCAACCCTATGAGAAAGGTATTGCTATGTCCGTTTTACCAGTAGGACAACCGAGGCTTGGAGGGTGACTTAACTTGCACAGGTAAGTTAAGTGGCTGGGATTGCCACAAAGGTTTGTCTGACCCAACAGTGACATTATGGGAGGGACTGTGGCCATGGGGGCAATAATTCCTCAGGATCTGCTGTCTGTCAACTTTGTGAGGAGTTAATAGGGATGCCAGGGAAAGCTGGCACAATTTAGGAACTGATTATAGAAAGAGAGCCAAGACAGGTAAGATTAGAAAGATACAAGTGATGGGTGATGCTGGTTTTGAGAACTGTCCTATGTGGAGAAGACAGACCCTCTCAGCTTGTGTGCATTTTTTTTTTGTATCTGCTACAAAAAAAATCTATCAATATCTCAGTTTCTCAATGATTTTTCCCCTTGAACACCAAGATTGTGCAGCTAGAAACCTAAATGGCTTTTCTCACGTTATCTTTAGCTGAACACAGATGCCTAGGTTTTGTATCAGAATATAATACTTGGCAATCATATTAATTGCTTCTTATCTCTTGGTTCCTTTTTTAATAAAGTATTTATCACGTTCAAATCATCAGTAAGATTAATTAATCTTGCAGCTGTTTTATATTCTGATTGCCTGCCACTTTGATCTGAAAGAGAAGATATGCTTATTACAAAATGGTTTTCTCAAAATTCTCTTTGAATGGAGTTAGGAAAAAACAACCAGCCAATGTGCCAGATTAGAACAAAAAATAATTTTTTAATCCTATTTTCAGGTTCTTTGCACAGAGTAGGAAATTAAAAAGCAAGGCAAAGGAAAACAAAAATATGAATAAACAAAATCTACAACCACCTGCTATAATTTCACAGCTCAAATTGGTAATTAATTATTTATTGAGTGCCTACTATGTGCCAGACACTTTGCCAGTTCAGGGAAGATGGTGGTAAACAGGACAGATGGATAACACCCGTAAAGAACATACATGTTGGTTTTTACCTCTATGTACTATGTAATTAACATACATTATTTAACTTAATTCTTACAACAATTTTATAAGAATGATTATCCTAGTTTATAGAGGAAGAAGCAGAGGTTGAGAAAGTTTAAATCTTTTGACCAGGTTTGCGTCTCAACTAAGCTGCCAGGGGCAGGCCTGTCTGACTCTAAATTCATCCCTGGGCAAGATGGGTAGAGTTGGTTCCCAGTGTTTGAAGCCTCCACTTTCACAGCCGTGTTCTTCCCCCAACTTCACTCCTCCCCCTTCATTCACTCACTCTTTTTTCCTGATGAATAGATTAATAGTAAGGTGTTGGTGACATTATTTTACCACTCCTAGCAGCATTATCTTTTGATAGAAGACCACAAAGAGAGGGAGATGCCTAGCCGCAGGGGCAGCAGCAGAAGTGGTAGAAGTGATAGTTAGTAGAGCTCATCTATTTGCCAAGGACTCTCGCATGCTTATTTCCCCTGAGTCTCACCTTGCAGCATCTTTATAAGTTAAGTAGTAGTATTACCCCCATATTAGAGATGAGGAAACAAAGTCCTAACAATAACTTGTTTAAGTGGTGGAAATAAGATTTGAATCCAGATTTATAGACTCCAAATCAAGTATGCACATGAAGGTGTTTTGTACACTACAGAGGATTCTGCCAATGTCTTTGCAAATGTTTATTGTCGGAGAAGCACCCTTTCCATTATGCCATGTGGCCACTAAGGCAAGCTTACCTATGATGTTTTTTTGGGAGTGAGTCAAGGGTTAGGAGGGAGGATATTATGAAGCAGGGTTTGGTTCTAATCATACTGTATGTGAATGTGTGATTGTTTACTCTGAATAAATGTGATCCAGGCTTTCTGCTTTTCAGTATTGCCCAAAACACCATTATTTTGGAGTTCTGATCTTACAAGGCACATGTGCCATAATTCTCCCCATGGAGAGCCCATGTCAGACATTGCTAATCAATCACAGCATGTTTTCCTGCTATGTGCAGACACAGCCTGACAATCCTCAATCCAGCCCTCATGGTAGAGGTATCCATTAATCATATGCTAGAAGAAACTGCAGAGACGGATGAGAGTTGGGGGGAAGCTAAGTATTTTCCATAATGTATTTGGAATTCTGTTTTTGACTCTTATTTTGAAATTTTGGCTTCACTGCAGGTTTTAATGTCAACCACCTAGACATTGCCCCCCGCTATGCCAGCATTCTCATGGGGATATCAAATGGAGTGGGAACTCTCTCTGGAATGGTCTGTCCGCTCATTGTCGGTGCAATGACCAAGCACAAGGTAATGGTCTCCTTTGGGACCACGGGTGACAGCATCAGAAGGCTGAAGTCCTGCACACACTTGAGATCTCACGGCCCTGCCTCAGCCTCTAAGTGTGTGTGTCCTTGGCCTTGGCTGAGTCGTTTAAATGTCTTCTTTTTTCTTTTCTTTCTTCTTCTTTTTTTTTTTTTTGATTATTGTTTATTGATGCAACAGGGCTGATTGATGTTTGGTCCCGTGTTTCCTCAACTGAGAAATAAAAGGTGTGTGTGGGGGCCAACACCATAAAGACTGTTTAGAGACACAAAGAAGAAACTGAGGCAGTCAACTCGAGATGAATAAATTACCCAAGATTGTTTTATAATTCTAAGTAATTAAACTTTATAGCACATTTCCATCTATTGCTTAACATGTTCCAGTATAAAAATATTAGTGCTGTTATACTTCCTTATTATGAAGAAAATAAACAAGACATTAATAAGCCTTCCTAAGAACCTACAAGGGTGTGGCACTCAGTCGTTACTGAAGCTTTGTGTCTCTAGACTAGGGTTGGTGTTAGAGGAGGATCCTGATCCATCCAAAGTTCAACCACAGGCCATGTGGTTTCTTAATCTCTGTCACTGAAAAGGTTTCAGGATGCTGCTTTCTGCAAATAAGAATTTTTTGATATTATGGGGTTTTTACCTAACTATTTTTTTTTTCGGTTGGATTGCCTATTACAAACATGACTTCAGAAATTCTTCCAGCTTCTTGGAAAAGAAAGTGTGGGGTAAATTTTCTTACTTTTGATAGAAAAGGAAGGTGGAATTTGGGGATTTTTTAGGCAGAGGATCCATGTTTTCCCTCTCTGTTCATGAGATGATAGGATTGCTAACATGAATATTAAATCTCAGATACTATTTTCCCCTAAGTTTAGGGGAAAACACAAATTCCCACTATTTTTTGATACTATATGTTATTTTGCACAGAAAATATGATTATAAATAAGCTATTGACAGTCAAGACTGAGCATTTTCATGGCTCAAATTGTTATGGGGTCCAACACAAGTAAGAAGGAAACCTCTGATATTTAAAATGGGGGTGGGGATGGGGAGTAGGGTTCCTAAAGCCACTTTAATTTAACCTACTATGAATGGAAACCCCATTTGTATATTTAGAAGAGCGGTGAAGTGGTGCTGTGTGTATTTTACATGATGTTTATTTTGTAAAGTATTTTTATAAATTAAAAAATGCGTATTCATTTTAGTCTTTTCATTTTTTAAACACTCAAATTGGATCCTGTCGGAGCCTGGACGTGCTTCTGTCACATATATCTTTCTAAGAGGCATGGCATTGCCTTTGGGGTGACCGGGTGCTTTTGTCCCAGTGGAGGCCTCTAGAACATTCTGTTAATCTCCAGTTTTGGTTAAAATATTAATTGGTACCGTGTTTCCTTGTTCAGACCCGTGAGGAATGGCAGAATGTATTCCTCATAGCTGCCCTAGTGCACTACAGTGGCGTGATCTTCTATGGAGTCTTTGCTTCTGGGGAGAAACAGGAGTGGGCTGACCCTGAGAACCTCTCTGAGGAGAAATGTGGAATCATTGGCCAAGATGAATTAGCTGAAGAGACAGAACTCAACCATGCGAGTTTTGCAAGTCCCCAAAAGAAGATGTCATACGGAGCCACCACCCAGAATTGTGCAGTCCAGAAGAAGGAATGGAGGGGACAAAGAGGAGTGCCTCTTGATGAGGAAGAGCTGATATCCTACCAGAATGAAGAGGGAAACTTCTCAGATACATCCTAATGTCTGAGGAGCACTTCTGGCTTCTCCTCACCTTAGAACAAGAAAGTATCCATACATATTGCCTTGCCCATAGCCCGGCTTGCCAGAGGGTCAAATATGGGGACACTGGAGGTGGGGGAAGGGGGAGAGATTTAATTAGCAATAGAGAAAAGAGAAATATTTTCTTGCAATGGCACTTTTGGGTATGGAGCTTGCTCTAAGTTGACAAAATAGGTATATATATAATTTTTTTTTGATTGGTGTCTGACTGTTCTCTCAAAGAACTGAACTTATTCAGAAAAGAATGACTAGAAGAATAAGAGAGATAATACTATGTTTTTCATAGAAAAATGGAAGGAAACGAGGATATTTGGCCTGGAGGAGAGGAAACAATGGGTGCCGTGCAGAGGAGAATTTCTTCTTCCTCATAAAGTCTACAGCTCATGGGGCCCTGTCTTGTGCCAGGTGCTTTATAAACATTCTAATTTAATCTCCACACCCCTATGACATACATTTGTTATCCTTATTTTACAACTAAGGAAACTAAAGCAACAAAAGATTGACTTTCCCAACATCATCCTGCCAGGGCCAGTGCTGAGACTGGTGGAGTCTAAAGTAAGTGGCAGTTATGGGGAAGCAGGTTTTACCAAGGGTAGGGAAGACATTTTTAATAATGAAAATGGAGTAAGTTGTCTTGTGGACGTTTCCCTATTTTGGCAGACATGGGGGATGGGAAACATTTGGGTTGATGTGGCAGAGAGCATTCAAACATTGTGTGAGGGGCTGGATTCAAAGATCCTTAGGGTTCTATATGATCTGAAGAGTCAAATGATTCTGTGAATTCATAGTTTTTAAGATAATAAGGGTCACAGACTGTATGAGAGATTCAAATAGGTTAAAAAAGAGAGAGAGAAAGAGAAAGCTAAGCAAGATAGCAAATTTCCGGGAATCTAATGGTCAAAATGGCTGAGAAGAAGTAAACAAGGGCTTGGCTATTAAATATCAACCCTTCATAATGTCAAGAATGTGGTTAAATAATGTCCCAAATTACTTATAAATCTTTAAGACATTTAGTAATTTAAGAAGTCAGTTCATGCGTTTTAATAGGTAAAATTCTCTTGAAAGAGTCTTCTGTTTTAAAAAATGTATGTCTTTAGCCATTTCCACTGGTGATATTATGAAGTTTGAACAAATTATATAAAATTATGATTGAAGTATTTCCTAATGACTGTATTTGGAATGATGTTCAGGGAAACCACAGTAATATAGCAGTAGTTATACAAGGAAATACTAAAATGAAAACATCTGGGACAACTAGACTCATAGTTAGTGTTGAAAAATTCATCTTTGACTGCATAAGGCAATAACATGGATACTCTCTAGATATATTTTAAAATTTAATGATATTTTAAAATTTAATGTTGGCATGTAAATGGTTGTTTGAGAATAAAATTATTTCCCTGTTCATTGTTTTTGAAAATTTTATTTCTACTTTCAGAAGAAAAATATAATATTGCAGAAAAGAATTATAGATTTACTTGTAGTCTATTACTGTTTAAAGTGTTTTTTTATAATTTCTCACCTATATATATATTTCTGGTCCCTAATTGTACCAGCAGAGTTGTAGTGTATTTTATAAAAAGAATAATTTTGAGGAAAAAAAAAAAGAATTTCCTGACTCTCCATTGAATAATATTCTTTCTATTATTAGTATATAATTTATGTTATCATATATCTTTAAATCTCTTTAATGAGTGAATCCATGTAAGTCCCTTAGAACAGTTCCTGGCATGTAGAAAGTGCTTAATAAACATTAGCTATCATCATCATTATCATCTTTCAACCTTTTGGAGACCTTTTCAGTTGAAAAGAAAGCATGCTATGTCATTTTCATCCATTAGCCACAGAATTTGTTGTGAAAGTCATGCTGTTTTCTAAGTCAAAAAAAAAAAAAAAAAAAAAAAGAGAAATTTATGGTAGCCAGTGTTTTATTTTTTCTTGTGTTAATAAAGTCAAATAACTATAAAAAAAAACAACTCATGCTAATCCTTAAGGTAATATTGAAGATTGTGGCACAAAATTCTATTTACTCCATTGTTTAAAGTCAGTGTCATATGCAGAAATTTCACATTTTGACAAATGAAAGCATTTAGGATGTCTATAAATGGCCTGTATAGTATTAAAAATAAAACAATAGAACCCTGGATCATGGTGTTAAAAACTAGAAAACAGCTTATTTTGTCGTGACAGGTTTTGCTCTGTGAAGGTTGCAGTGAACAGATAATTACATTTGAATGCCAGGCAGATGCAATTTGCAAGTCCTTGTACATTTTGCTGCAGATATCCATGTGTAAATCAATTCTTGGAGGCAAATCATGGATTCTAGCAGGAAGGGAAGGAAGCCTGAGGGTGCTGGATTCTTGAGACAAGAAAGGTTTGACTGGTTCTTTCCAAAGAATAAAAGTTTTGGAGACGCCTGAATATGACAAGAAAAAAAATAATTGTTTGAGAAATAATGGCACATTTATTATCCCTGCCTGGATGTTAAATTCAACAGGTAAAATTTGGAGCCTACTATTTCTATTTCACACTGCCTCCTCCTAACACGAACAAACCTGTTCTTCCTTCTCTGTTTCTTATCTCAGTTAATTGCAACACCCTTTTGCTGGAGCTAGAAATCTTTTTTTTTTTTTTTTAAAGTATTTGCCATTGGGTTTTCCTTTGGAGCTAGAAATCTTGGAGTCATATTTGACTATTAAAAACAGTAGCCCTCCATCTCTTCCCTGCCTAGTCAATTTAATTTTATTTTCAATCTGTGGCTCAATGTCTTACATCAGTTTTGGAAAATTCTCAGCCATTGTCTCTTACAATATTTCTTTTGCTCTATTCTTTTTCTATACTCTTTCTAGGAGTTGACTTAAATGGATGCTGGACTGGATCTCTGACCATTTCTTCTGTGTTTTCCAGGCTTGCCTCTTTCTATGTCATTCTGGATATCTTCTTCTAATTTATTTTTAAATTCTTTATTTCTCTCCAACAAGGTCTAATCTGGTAAAAATCCATCCATTGTATTCTTAATTTCAGTTATTATATTTTAGAACTTTTATTGTATTTTTTTCTGTTCTGCTATGTCTTTCAAAAAATATTTCCAGTTCTCTGCTGAAATTTTCAATCTTATATTTTATTTCCTGGAACACAGTAAGCTAATTATTTTAAAGTCTGGTCAGTGCCAATATCTGGATACCATGTAATTCTGTTTCTATTTTCTGTTGGTTTTGTTGATTCTTGTTCATATTATCTTATATTGGTTTTCTTGTGCTTGTTTTTTTGTGTGTGTGAGGAAGACCAGCCCTGAGCTAACATCCATGCCAATCCCCCTCTTTTTTTGCTGAGGATGACTGGCCCTGGGCTAACATCTGTGCCCATCTTCCTCCACTTTATATGGGATGCCGCCACAGCACGGCTTGACAAGCGGTGCATCGGTGCGCACTGGGGATCCAAACCCGGGCTTCCAGCAGTGGAGCGCGCACACTTAACCACTATGCCACAGGGCTGGCCCTGAGTGCTTGGTTTTTTTTATTGTATCTGAAATTATATTTGAAAAATTGTTTGCTGAAATGATTTTAGGCTTAAAATAATGCTTTTTTTTTTCTCTTTCCAGAGAGGATTTTTGTTTGCTTCTGCCAGGAGCCTGAAGGCATTAGCAATCTGGGATCTCTTTAATCCAGTTGCAAGGTCTGAGATATTCTGGGCCACCCAGGTGATTTGAAGCTGAGCTACAGGCGGTGTGAAGGCCCTTTTACTTTCAATTCACCCTTACTGCTGCAGTACAGCACTTCCTGGTCTCAACCCACACTACTGTGTTTTTACCAGTGTCCAACCTTTGTCTCTATACTAGGCTGTCAAACAGCTCAGCTATCAAACACTGGCTTTGCTATAATTAACAAATGCTTCCAGGAAAAAAGTGGCCTCAAATGTCAGGCTCACTTCTCTGGATGTTCTTCTTTTCCCAGATGGCCAGATGGTAGCCAGGTAATTTTTCACTGCCATGCTGGCTCTCCAATGCTTTCAAGCAGACATTTAAAAAAAATATTTTGTTTGGCTTTTCTAGCATGAAGGTTGGTCTGAATTACCTAGTCTGCCGTTAATAGATGCTGAAATCTCTCTTAATTTTATCTTCACAAGTTCTCTAAAACTGATTTATTTCCCTAGAAATAGTGTGGTAATAAATTAAACCCCAAATCTCAGTGGCTTAATACAGCAAATGTTTATTTCTCTCTTGTGTTACTAGTTAAGTTTGGGTTGGGTTGGGTAGAATGGAGACTTGTTCCAGACAGTCACTCAGGTATCCAGGATTTATTTTTTCTTCACTCACAATCTTTTAGTTCGCCATTTGGAACATATAACCTTTGATATCACCATGAAAGAAAGAGGGAGAAGGAGGTACAGTGGCTTTTCACTGCCCCACTTGGAAATGACATTGTCATTTCTGCTCCTAGTCCATTGACCTACACTAGCCATGTAGCCCCAACCTAACTTCAGATGTGGCTAGGGAATAAAGGGGAGCACATGGATTACTGAGTGAGCACTAATTACATCTGCCACTCAGCTCTAGCCTAGGTTCAGTGTCTTACGAACTCTCACTTGGGATGTTGAAATAGTCTCCTAACCCCAAGTGCCATAAATGACATGACTGTGCTATGTATAATTCTGGGGGATCTGAACTAGTTTGCAAGGAGCAAATTTCATATGGGAGAGAGCTTTGAGCTCCCTCCAGGAGAGACCACAAAGATATCAATTCATTAGAGAAGAATAGATTCTGGCCTGATTCAAACTTGAGTTAATAACCACATGGACCAATTTGAAGGGCCAGGAAAGCCAAACTTTTCTTGAGATTTCATGTATTACTGTGTTCCAGGCCTTATGCTAAAGCCCTTTCTACACATGATCTCATTTATTTCACATGGCAACCCAACGAGAAAGGTTCAACTCTTTATTCCAAAGTATTTATTAATAAATAAATGGTGTTTCAGAGTAGAATTTAAACTCAAGACTCTAATGGCCATATTTTAATTCTTAATTAAATATTAATCTTACTTCTTAATTTTTAATCTGTCCTCCACTGCTTCTCCTGGATGCAGTAATTCCAGACAATGGTGATTCTCAAAGTCAGGAGAATGTCCCAGTAGTTTCAGTAAGGTGTCAGCAAACGGATGGAATGAACCCTGGCAGTTTAGTCCAGACCCCAGTACAGGGACAGCTGAAAAACCAGATCGGTAAGATCCCTCTTCTCACCAACTGCTGCACTGGAGTGAGAAGTAAGAGCCAGGGTAAGCACTGGAGTGAGAAGAATCAGGGGCCCCTGTA